GAAACTAATGCGATCGATAGCATCACGCTCATTGTTAATAAAGCTTGTAGCTGGAAATGCTATATGCTAAAATGTGATTATATCACATTAAGATACGAACGAAGGTATATTCCATTCTGGAATTTGACTCAAAGAGACTTGAGTCTAGACGTTGCATCATCTGATGAAGGTCATTAGAACATGACCCGTCGATCTGTTACAATAGATAAGGGGAAGTACTTATCCTAAGAAGAAGAAGGAGTCCTCAGTAAGGATTTATTTTGTAACTTGTATGTTACGATTGAAAGTCCAACCTAGTACGAAGAGCAGGTGTAAGATTGAGCATCATGGTTATTACTTAGGATGGAAAGATAACGTATGGAATCATTATACAAGTCCTATTTTCGTTGATGATTCCGGGACGTAATCATTAAGGGGGAGATAATTATAACGCCCGTAGATCCGGGCTAGTCAATTTAGAGACGATAAACATCAAAAATGACTTTTTGATAGAAGATTATTTAGAAGGATTAATCTTAACCAAGTTGTATTATATGTCTCAAGGTTTCTGGATATATAAAGAATGCCAAAATCCGAGTTATAACGAAGAAGTTATGACATGTCGAAGTTTCGCGACAAACCGGCACGGTGCCGAATGTCGTAAAAAGTGAGTTTTTGATAAAATAATTTTTAGCCTTAGTGATCTAAACGAAACTCGTAGTATTCGTTAAACCGAGAAGTTCGATAAAAAGAACGCCCAAATCTGACTTCGTATGAGGAAGTTATGATTTTTCGTAGTTTCAGTTCAGCAGTAGACAGCTAAAAACTCGAATTTTAGATCGAGTGATTTTTAGCAGACACGACCTAAACGAGAATCGAAGGTCTCGTCATTTGTAGTACAACGGTAAAAAGTCTGACGAAAACGGACATCGGATGAAGAAGTTATGAATATTTAACGGATTTCCTGTCCTGGTCTGTTAAAAATAATAATATAAAAATTAAATTCAAAATTAGCCGATGAAGTCTAAACGAAAGTTGTAGAGCGTAATTTTACCTACGCGTGCATATAAAGAACGTCAAAAACGGAGCTTGTATGCGAAAGTTATGGATTTTAGAAGTTTTGGCGCGAAAACCGAGAAATTTCGCATAGGTGACTTCGGCCACGTCACCCTTCGCATGCAGCCTCCACGTGGCATCTTCTGATTGGACCGCAGCCACGCGTGGCAACCACTGATTGGTCCGAAGTCGTCACCCTTCTTCCCCATTGGACCGAAGTCCGGTCCACTAAGAGGCCTCCAGCTATCCGAGCCGAAGCCCTGTCTCGCCATCTGTCCGAACCGAGGCCTCGCAGCCTGCCGCGTGACCGAACCCTCGCATACGTGTCCTTCTTGCGCGACTGCCACGTGCCTCGCTGACTCACCTCTTCTCGGCCGACCTTCGGATCTCACTCCTATAAATAGGAGCCTTGCGAACCCTCCCGGGTAAAAATGGGATTTTGCCATTTTTGACCCCTTTTTCCATATTTTTACTATCCTGACATCCCCCGAAGCCCCGGTACTTATTCCAAAGCCCGAAACACGCCCCGAGATTCCCGAGAAGCCCGAAAAATTTATCTTTTCGGTTTTGAAGCCCGACCTTTCGCAGAGCCCGGTTTCACAATAAAACTCCCGGTTTTATTAGAAACGATCGTTTTAGGAAACGAATTGCTGCCCGATTTTCATTAAATCAGGTGAGTGTATAGTCACTTTCATCTTACACATAGATATGAAGTATGTTATATAAAATACGTGATATGTGTATAAATGTTGTTTGTTTTTTTGAGATGGATGTTGAATGAATGTTTTATACATGTTTAAAATGATTTAAAAATGTATATATATTTTATCTTCAAATATGTTGGGTAAAACATGGGTAGATAAAGTATGAGGGATAAAAGTACAGTATAGATGTACGTTGGTAGCTATGAATTTAGTACGTTGGCTGCTATGGACTTAGTGCCTGTTGTATAAACCCTAGCGACTATGAGACGTAGTGCCTATTAGATAAACCCTGGCGACGATGTGACTTCGTGCCTATTAGATAAACCCTGGCGACTATGAGACGTAGTGCCAATTAGATAAACCCTGGCGACGATGTGACTTCTTGCCTATTAGATAAACCCTAGCGACTATGAGACGTAGTGCCTATTGTATAAACCCTGGCGACTATGAGACGTAGTGCCTATTGTATAACCCCTGGCGACTATGTGACGTAGTGCCTGTTGTATAAACCTTGGCGACGATGTGACTTCGTGCCTATTTGACATAAATTGCTGAGGGAAAGCAATGTTGTCACCCCGGTGATCGTTTTATTTGACATAAATTGCTGAGGGAAAGCAATGTTGTCACCCCGGTGTTTGTTTTATTTGACATAAATTGTTGAGGGAAAACAATGTTGTCACCCAGGTGTTTGTTTTATTTGACATAAATTGCAGAGGAAAGAAATGTTGTCACCCCATTGGTTGTCTTATTTGACATAAATTGTTGAGGAACCCTCGAAGCAATGTTGTCACCCCTAATGAAAATCCTTAGGCTAGGTTCCTTGTGATAGTTGTTTTAGGGACGTAAGGTGAGGATAACGGGAATGGGTAATTAGGGTTGTTTTTGGTTGATGAAATTAATAAATTATTTGTTGATTGATAAACTTAAAGAGTTTATTATTTATTGTGGGTTGAAAACCCTATATGCTCACCAGGCTTCCAAGCCTGACCCACTCAGCTTTTTATATTACAGGTAGCAGACCCCGAGCATAGTCGGATGATGACAATGAGTGATTTTTGGATTATAGGCCAGTAGTTATAAAAAACTGTTGTAAGGCTTATAATATCTTGTTTATGCTTTTGATCTGTATCGGAACATGATATCCCGAGGTTTTGATATAAAAGGAAATTATATATTTCTTAAAGAAAGGTTTTGACAAACTTTTATCATGTTTTGTTTTGGGGACCAATTCCGCAACATCTTTTAAAAAGATTTCTCTGATTTTATTTTAAAAAGCATAAACGAAATCGGTCTTTTCTGGCCGTGAAATTGGGGATGTCACAGTTTCTATTGGCACAAACGTCTCTCCCATCTCTTCCATATACAAAGCTGTAATATTTTTAAACTGGATATCAATCGGGGTGTCCCGTATGCAATCTTGGGTGCAAATCAAAGCTTCAGCTGCCAGATGTGTAAGGGAGCTTCTACTTTCATCAATCACTCTCCTGCCAATACTAAATGCTGACTCTGATGCAACTGTAGAAATTGACATTCCTAAAACAAGTTTTGTCACTTCAGAATGTACAAGAAACTTTGCTGAATAAGATTTCCACCACCCTAAAATCTGAAAATCCTCCACCCACTTTCCCATCTCATCTGATAAATAAATCTCAAGCTCTGTTTTATTAACCCCTTGCTTGCGTTGGTCCATAAAATTTTCAAAATCGTCTTTCATATCAACTCCATGCCCAATATCAAAATAACTAGGTGTAGAAGACAATGCATCCCTTGTCCTTTCACATCTTTCTGTCTCCGTCTTTTTCTTGAAGTGTTGAAACAGGTCCTCTAGTGTTTTATTGACATGCTCTAGAATAGTTTTTGTTTTGGCAAAATTCTTACCATAAATCAACTCCAAGCAATACTCCAAATACCACTGTGGGGATCTAAAACGACAACAACATGAAGCAAAAAGTTCATGTTCTGAATGTTGTCCCAATATTTTTCATATTTTTCTTTCATCAACGTTGCCATATTTTTCTTTTTCTCGTATGTGCTTGAACACATTATAGTAATGCTTGCTTGCATTGTCATAAGTTCATTAAAAGATATATTGGCTGTCACATACATGGATCTAGATATCTTTTTTGTGATATTGTAAAAGATCCTCAAATAGTCGATATAATACCTACCAAAACAATTAAACAATATCAAACTTCCCAATTGAAGTAAAAATATATAAAACAAATATACCTTGCAACCTCCTAATCATCTGCATCGTGAGTCCATATAACTTTCTCGTTTATTCTTCTTTTTCTTGTAATCACTTCACCGTCATCAACCTCACTTCCACAAAAAGTTTTAAAATCACTATCAATCGCAAGAAGCCTACAATACAAAATAAAACCCAATTACAACATTAATATGTAAATTATATTTTTTTTAATATATCATACTTAATAGTTAACATAATACCTATCAAACGCTGCGTCATACTTTTCTGCCGTCTCCACATCAAAAATGTAGAATTCCATCTTGTGTCAACATCGAGGGATGGGTTCTTACAGCAATTAATCGTCACTTTCTCAATACATTCTAGGAATGTAGCAAACCTAGCACCCGATAACCTCACATACTTCACAACATTCAGGTCTTTATGATGGAACTAAAATGCTCTTATAACCCGTCCCTAACCACAAGATTTATGATATGAGCACAACACCTCAAATGCAAGTATTTGCAATCCAAAAAAGAATGGGGCACCCTAAGCATGGTCGCTAGATACCTAATTGTCCCATCATTTGAGGAAGCATTATCCATAGTCACTGTAAACACCTTCCTAATTCCTTAATTCTATAAGCATCTATAAACGAGTTTTCCTATTGTCACATCTTTGTGATTTACAATGGGACAAAAGTTCATAATTTTCTTTCTCAAAACCCACGTCTCATCAACCTAATGTACCATTAAATAACTATATTTAATGTTTTGGATGGATGTCCAAGTATCAGTTATGATGGAGACGGTTTGAGTTTTTAAACATTCTTCAATTTATATAACCGTTCTTTGTATATTTGCAAACAATCCCTTGTGACAGTCCACCTTGAAGGCAATTTAAATAAAGGTTGCAAGTCCCTTGATATTCCCTAAATCCCTCATCTTCAACTATACTAAAAGGTTGATTGTCTTTAATACACATGCAAACTAAGGAATTCCTTCATTTCTCTTGGCTAAAGGAATGAACTACCATAAAAGTATCCCCCGAGTCTCCCATATTTTTGATACTCAACACAAATTGTTTTTTGTATCACCAAGTTTACCTTTAGGGTTGTAAAAAGGAGATCTTGGACAATAGAGTCTTAAATGACTTCCCATTGCACTCATACCATTTTTCTTCGAATTTGTACACATCATTGTTGGACAATATGAACATTTCACTTTCATAGCACCCTTCTTTACGTCCTCTCGATCACAATGTTGCCATACCCAAGATACTCTATGACCGCCACCCTGATTATCTTCAACTTCATCATCTCCTTTATCAACATCAAGATCAAGATCAACATAAATAGTGTAGAGCATCAACATCAACAATTTCTGCATCTAGTTGAGACCTTTCCATCTACATAAAATAAATGAAATCAACAATATATAAGCATAATTTCACATGAAATTCTATTTTCTTAAGACATTTGTTTGTATTTAACCTATTTCAAAATGCAAAAAATTATGTTTTACTAATCTTAGAATTTAGATGCCTTCACCAAAAAAGTCTGTTTTCGGTCCAATCATACAAGATATTAACAAGATCATAGGTTCGTTATCATAGGTTCAATAATCTATTATGAAAACAAAATCATAAGCAAATCACAACAACAATATTTCCACATCATAAGCAAATAGCCAATTTGGGCAACATATATCATTAAATCAATATAGTTGTGGTATCTTTCAAGAAATTTCATATTAATGAGCATGGATGAAAAATTGTTACATGAGTCGTTGGGCCAAATTTCATATGAATCTAGTTGTGGTATCGTTAGTCCACGACTACTATTCTTATACATAACATTATGCAACTCTAATCTCCATATTGCATATGATATTAGAAAATGTTAGAATTTGGAAGGAAGAACAATCAACTCTAAAATCAACAATTTCATGAAACATAGATATAACAATATATGAAATCTGATGCATAATGAGAAACATCATGAAAATTAGGGGGAGGCGAGAACTGAGAATGAACCTGAGAAGTGAGAACAGAGTCGTCGGAGGCGTAGCAGGTTTGTGAGGGTGGTGTCGTCGGTTTGGTGGTGTGTTGTCGCTCTTCGGAGCTCTTGTTGGCTGCGTCGTCGATTTCAATTGGGGGAGGCGAGAACTGAGAACGGCGTAGCGATTTGAGAAGGGAAGACAACTGAGAACTCGATTTCGATTTCGAGTTGTTTTATTTTCTCTCTTTTTTAATATATATATATATATATATATATATATATATATATATATATATATATATATATATGGGTCAATTTCTTGAGGTGGTTTGTCGGTTTTATATATGGATCGGTTTCTTGGGTTGGATGGGTCGGTTTCTGGGTAAAAATCAAAACCTAACTCGATTTTTCGGCTTTTAAAAAATTCAAACCCTAACCGTCGGTTTGCTTCGGTTTCAGTTTTTTCGTTTTCGTTGGTTTCTTGGTTCGAGTTTGCTCACCCCTAGTGTTATAAACAAAATAATGTTTTAGGTTCCTTTATGAATGCTTATCAGCCTGCCTACCTAATTCAATAACATAAACTCTATTGATTAAGGTTTAATTTAAGCGACCTTGTTATGTCGAATTCCTCACACAACCATTTCTTCTTGTCCAAAAATGACAAAGTTCACGAACTTAACGGCTTCGTGCCCATTTTGGGTTTCGATTTTGTCAGGATACAATAGTTTTCACATTATCACTAACATAAGTATTTTTAAGATCAAAGAATGATCTTAATAAAAAATCTTTACTTTTCCATGATAACGAGTTTATGAAAACATTCTCTACATACCAAATTTTCTACACATGTGTTACCCAGAAAGGTATACTTGTATCTCATAGTCTATTATAACCCACAATACATCGTCTTTCTAAACCATCCTGAGAAAATTGGTGATACCATCTAAGATAAGATCATCCCATTTTTCTATAGGAACCTGTAAAGGTCTCAATTTACCTCACGATATTTGTTGTCGTGTTCTCACTTGCCAATCAAAATTTCCATTCGAACATCTACATAACAAAAGAAAAACTATTAACTCTCTCTTGGTTTCTTGCGTTGCAACTCTCTTGGATCTTGATGTCAAAACGGAAGTCAAGTTACCTTTCGAACCTTTGCATTAATGGTTGGTTCTTCTCCACTTAGGTTCGAACCCGCACTTGCTGCTATTTACAACCGATCAAGGCCCAAGTTGGCTATGCTTATGTTATTTGTAGTTCCTTTTACTCTTGGAAGTAACTCCTGATTGTCATATTAATGACTTTAACATCTCCAACACAATATGATTGCTTATGCCTACAAAGAGTGATATTCTCCCATAACAAAATCACGCACCGATCAGATTAATCCTTGTAGCAACGACAGTTGCTAATAAGAGGGTATTAATAAGGAAATGGAATTTACTATTAGCAACGAAGGTTGCTAAACTCAATACCATTCCTACCACTTCTCTGGGATGATTAATCCTTGTCACGCTCTAATTAGTCATCTTGTAATGATCCTTCAGATCATCTATGAAGCATTTGGGTGAAAACACAAAAAAGACACTTACATGAACCTTTATATACCGGCTACAATGATTGCAACTCCCATAGCTTCCTGAACGAAAATCAATAGGTTTGAACCTATCTGTTGATGGTGGTTCTTAAACTCGCACTTGTTATTTCATCCACTGACAGATCTTCATTCCTAGCTGTTAAGTTACAAACTCAATTTTTATCGGAGACTCCTGCTTCTTCCTAAACGGGGTCGTAAATTCTACCTAAGATAAGGTCTTTACTTTGGCTATAGTAACAAACCTAATGGCCACACTCTAATGACCTTCCATCGTAGGATGTAATAGATACATAACGAACTAGACTCTTACCTATATGAGATAGACATTAACATGGAAGACACCTTCCATCTTGTGCTAACAACCTGATATTTCCTGTTTTGATCCTAGGAGGATGACCTAGAACCATATCATAGCAGGTATCATCTCTAACTGCTAGCAGCTCAACCCAATCGATGGTTGTTATTCTTTGGTCGATCATCTTGATCATGTCCTTCTTCAATATCTTGACTAAAGTCGGTCACTTCACAAAACATGGTTCTTTGAACCAATCAACTCACTTATGTAGATTTATATTACTCGGACTCAATCCTTCATGACCACTTGGGTCCAAACTAGAACCTAGTTTCCTAGACATCACCATATCGCAGGTAATTACGGAACAAACATAACAAACTCAACTATCAGTACCTTAGTAACCTTGTGACTAATCCTGATCCAAGTATGAATCATGTGCTTCAGGTAGTATATGCCTATACTTTTGTAATAAGTGTCCAAGGTCATAACTAAATTGATCAAGGTCATGAATAAATTGATATCACTTTATGGAATAAAAGTAAAGTCGGTTTTAGGTTGCCCTCAAAAGCTAGAAATAACTAAAAATGACTTTAGGAGAGAGAGATAAAATGATTTGTTAATTTGTTATGTGATTAATAAATTAATAAGAAATAGTTCATAATTAATTATGAATTAATTAGAAATAGTAAGAATTAATTAATTATAAAATTAATTAAATGTGAAAGGGTGAATTGTAATTGTTAAATAGTTGAACAAAAGAGGAAATTCTAGAACCTAGCAAGGCATAGACGGTTTTTGGAGCCTTTCTAGAGTTTATGGAAGCTTCCTCGTAACAGATGAGGAAATGATTTGAATTGGAGATTAAATTTATTATTTAATTATTCAAATTTGGCTTCATTTGTAAGTTACCTAAACTATAAATAGTACCCTTGGTCATTATAATTTCGTGTCTTCTCATACCTAGAAGGTAGAGAACGAAATTATCTTTGTTTCCCCCCCCCCCTCCTCTTGTTTTCCTAGTGTTATAGGGTTTTGGGTGTGAACCATTAGAGACATGCATATTTTGGTTCTTTCTTTCCATAGAGCATTCGAATAACTCAAGAGATCAAAATATTTGATTATTTTAAAGGTATATTTTCTTACTAGTAATTTTGATTATACTAGGTTAAAAAGCATTGTTTCATAAAATATGGTGCTATTGACTGTGAAAAGGCATAGATCCATTTAGGTTGGATGTACCGTTAAATTTTAAATGAAATTCTGCATGTACATTCCAATTATAACCTAAAATTCCAAATAGTGGTATCAGAGCCATATATTTTTCTATTATTAGTGCATAAGAGATGAAACTTAAAAGAAATCGTAGATTGCTGATTGTCACAACCCAAAAATTTTAGACCTAGCATGGTCTAAACCCTAACCTAGTACAAATGAAACCACATTGCAATCCTTGTTGCATTGAATCCTCTATAGCCTTAAGGACATGTTTATAAGCTAATACCTAAGTATAGTTCGAAAACTAAGTTGATTTATGTTAGTATAAATTAATATAAGTCAAAGGATTAAAGTTTAAACCATAAAATAACACCCCATATTGGAGTTTTCGGCCAAGAATTCAAGAAGAAAAAGAGTTCACGATCCAAAGCATCTAGAACACTTAGATTTCGGTCCAAGGAATCTAATCCAAATGGAGATTTCGGTTTGGAATCAATTCAAAAAGGGGTTCACGGTTTGGAGCATGACTGAAATCTCAAGGAAATCACTTTATGACCGAAAACCCAAAGTCTAAGGTCCATTAAGGACCGAAAACCCCAAAGCTAGAGGCCCTTTAAGGGCGAAAACACATTGTTATATATTTAAGTTTAGCCGCAAACTCAATTCATTTATCACATTTCATACCGCAAACACTTCACTTTTTACTCTCAAGTATCATACGTGAACCCCATATCTTCAAGAGATTTCTACCCAGATCTTCTTATTTCCACCAAGAACACCAAGAACATTCATCAATATCTTCAAATCTTCAAGCCTCCAACCGAAAACCCCCCAAGCACACCAAAAACGCCAAGAACTATTACAAATAATTTCTAAGACTATTGTAAGTATTTCTTACATAATTAAAGTGTTGTCTAACACTTTAATTATTATTTAAACCATTACTTAATTTACTATTTAAATTAATATCTTATTAATTTAAATACGATATCATTTATAAATATCATTAGGATACGGTTGCTTTCACGTATTCTAATCCGAGGATCATCGTTAGCACTTCGCGACTCAATCTAACACACACAATCGAGGTGAGTTCATACCCCTACGTTTTTACGATTTTAAATTTGTTTTAGGGGGGGGGGGGGAATACAAGTAAAACATAAAAAATCTTGTGATAAAAATATAAATTGCTTATTATATTTTCTTACCGTTAATATGCATTTAAACGTGAAATTCATTAAACATGCCAAACATCGTTACGGTTAAATTTACAAACTTATAA